TAACAATAATAGTTTTTCTTTTAAAAACATAACTATTTATAATGCTCCCTAAATAATAAAAAATAAATTATGTTAATGGAGTTAGTAAAGTTTTTCCCCAAAACTTTGTCTTCAAAATAAGGGTGCGTCTTATATTCCGAAAAATACGGTACATAAATCAGCAATAAGAGGACAGAGATAAGTTTTATGTATTAGATAGAAAAAGATAAACATCTATTTAGTTTTCATGCTTTATTCGTTGCTCAACCCCTTTAAACATATGATATCATTAGGCATATTATAGTATACATATGAAAAGTGGCTTTCTTTTCCAAAGTTCCAGGAGGCCATGTCTAACTGTGTAATAACTCGTTATTGTTGTTTAAGGTTCATAGGGAAATTAATAGGTAGAATTATATACAGACTTCTCTCTATGTTAAAATACTTTTATTTGCGAACTTTCGACCTATTCCTGGAGCCTTCATCGGGGCAACAATATACTGAGTGATGAGAATTTTTTAAACTGTGCAACACTGTTGCCCAATGAAGGCTCTGATAAGAGGAGTGAAATCTCGCAAATAAAGGTATTTTAACGTAGAGAAAAGTCCGTGTATAATTCTACATAATAAACAACTATGTTATGTAATGGTTTTTATTGTACAATAAATCATCAATTCACCAAAGCAATAAAATTTATATTTCAACAGGTTCAATGATTATCATTACACGTGTATGAAGTATTATTTGAGAGTTATTAATTTCTATTAATTCAAGATCAGAGTTAGCAATATAATACCACTGACAGTTGAAGGGTTAAAGTCATGGATAAAGTGAGAAACTCAATAAGTTTCTTGTTTAATAATGGTTGGAGACGGCTTGAATGGGTAATGAAGAAAAACTTTAATATAAGTTTAACATAACAGCAAATGTACAACATTTCATCAAGGTTTTGGAGGATGAAACGTTGTACATTTGCTGTTATGTTAAACTTATATTAAAGTTTTTCTTCATTACCCATTCAAGCCGTCTCCAACCATTATTAAACAAGAAACTTATTGAGTTTCTCACTTTATCCATGACTTTAACCCTTCAACTGTCAGTGGTATTATATTGCTAACTCTGAT